CAGTCCTCATTAATCCTGCATTACCCTACTTTTCCATTTGCCCTTAAAATGTTCCCCATTCTCCATCCTCCCACTTTACCTCCTCATCCTTATCTTACTTTAGTTGTTGCAAACTGAATTCAAAGTGTAAAAGTAAATTGTACTCAATTAACACAACAGGAGGAGAGGACAAGAGGGGTGGAATCTTGCTCTTCCCTGTAGATACAGGCAAAAGCAAACTGCTTCAGCCTCTCCTAGATTGCGTGTTCTGTCTCATTAATACTTTCCCCCATTTTGACCACACTCTGATGTTGCTTTGCCACACATGTGGCATAACTTACACAAATACCCTGTAAAAATCAGAGGAAGGGAGAATCTAAATGCATCCAGCGACTACAGGCACAGAGAATGTTGGAAAGCTCCAGCTGTCCAGCCAGTCCACGCCATGCTCACCCCCGGGATATATTTCCAGGTCCAGTGTGTGCCTCCATTGTAAGCCAGAGCATTCTAACACTTTCCAAGGCTGTGGCAGTTGCATACATTTCGACTCTTCTCTCCCCTAGCATCTGCTTTTTATAGGATCTTTGTTAAAGTGAAGCCTCTCAAATTTCCGACAGTGGAAATTTGAGAGAAACTCCCAGGTACTGAATATGTATCTAGCCCCCTTTCTCCCATCACTCATTCAAAAATGTATTTCAAAAATCAAAATTCTGAACCAAATCATTTCAGATAAGAGAGACTCAACCTCTGAGTCTTAATATAAGGCAATGGCAAACCCTTTCCAAACAAATCTTGCCAAGAAAACCTATTAGGATCACTATGTTGGAAATGAATTGAAAACACACAATACAACAGCATCAAAGTATGCAAAAAAGTAACTTTTCTAAGCTTTGTTCTTTATTTTTGTTGTTGTTTATTCATTCATTCAGTCACTTCCGACTCTTTGTGACTTCATGGACCAGCCCACGCCTGTTGGCCATCACCACTGCCAGCTCCTTCAAAGTCAAGCCAGTCACTTCAAGGATACCATCCATCCATCTTGCTCTTGGTCGGTCCCGCTTCCTTTTTCCTTCCATTTTCCCCAGCATCATTGTCTTCTACAAGCTTTCCTGTCTTCTCATTATGTGGCCAAGGTAATTCATCTTTGCCTCTAATATCCTTCCCTTCAGTGAGCAGTCAGGCTTTATTTCCTGGAGAATGGACTAGTTTGATCTTCTGACGATCCAAGGCACTCTCAGAATTTTCCTCCAGCACCACAGTCTATCTTCTTTCGCTCAGCCTTCCTTATGGTCCAGCTCTTGCATCCATAGGTTACTACGGGGAATACCATTTCTTTAACTATGTAGATCTTCGTTGCCTTTGTAATGTCTCTACTCTGAACTATTTTATTAAGGTCAGTCATTGCTCTCCTCCCAAGAAGTAAACGTTTTCTGAGTCCTGTTTGCAGCCTGTGTCTGCAGTAATCTTTGCTAATAGAAATACAAAGTCTGTCACTGCCTCCACGTTTTTGCCCTATATTCTGTAGTTATCAATCAGTCTGGTTGCCATCATCTTGGTTTATGATGTTTAACTGCAACCCAGCTTTTGCATTTTCTTCTTTCACCTTGGTTAGAAGGTTCTTCAGTTCCTCCTCGCTTTCAGCCATCAAAGTGATATCATCTGCATATCTAAGGTTGTTAATATTTCGTCCAGCAATTTTAACTCCAGCTTTGGATTCATCAAGCCCTGCAAGTTGCATGATGCATTCTGCATACAAGTTCAATAGGTAGGGCAAGAGTATACAGTCCTGCTGTACTCCTTTCCCAATCGTAATCCTGTTTTACTGTTGCTACTTGGTTGTTATACAGATTCCTCAGGAGACAGACAGTTATTGTTTATCATAGTGTGCTTTTTATGCATAAGTGTACGTTCTTCAGAAGTCAGGAGGAGATGGAAGAACCTGGACCATCTATAGGGAAGGAGGTTTTGTTCTCTGTGTGCAACTGCACCTGAAATGCAGATCTTAGCCAAGCAATCTAGCAGCTTTGAGGAAGCGAAGCATTCCTTCTTCCTAATCGTCTTTTCGGCATTGCTTGTTTAAGATGCTGCTAATGGAGACACGCTTGGGTGATAATACGATCACTTGAGACATGACAAGGGAAACGGGGAGGCCCATTGATTGGGACACAATGGCAAAAGCAAAGTCATCATTTGGAGGGATTTGCAGTATCTTCATTCTCCCTGCCTGCATGGCCAGCCACTAGAAGAGAGAAGCTGCCTGCCTTGGAAGCTAAGCAGTGAAACTCACACACAAAAAGACCTCTTACCTTTGAAAGTTTTCACTTTTAAGAGGCCAATATATGTAGACAGGGGTAGAGAGTTAGGACTCCCTACTTTCACAAGGAGAGGCATGGCCAATAAGCAAGATTCTCACTTATACCAAGGCCAGATCTCCAGTTAGACAAAGTGAGTCCATTGCTTATGCAACCAATGTGGCAGATTCTCTCAGATGGTCCCTTGCCAGCCTCTCACTCTGGAAGGACAAAGCTGTATGTTTTCCAAATAGTCTGGTCTACACCGCCAAACCAGCTTGCTACCCTCAGGTATGATGGCCTCAACTATGTCTAATTGTCAGGATTGGGGAATGATAGAATTGCCAATTTGGTCAAGTTGAGTTGATGGAATTGAGTGGGGCATCATCTTCCTTTGCTACTGTTGGCAAAATACCTTTGGATGCTTCATCTCCAACAAAATCACCTCTTGCAGGCAATACAGGCTTGTTTGTTGAGCCACAAATGTAGTCATTTCTGGGTTTTAATAGATCTTGTTGCCTCTATAATATTAAGTGATGATCTTAAGCCAACCATTTGTTAAATTTTTGCTTAGTAATAATAATAATAATAATACACTTTATTTATATTCTGCCCTTCTCCCCTAGGGGACTCAGAGCGGAATAAGCATTTACATATACAGGCCTTTACAACCATATATAATGAGACACATGAACACAAACAAAGGCAGAGGCTTCTCCTTTCATTTCTGGCTTCTGGGTGTGGTGCTCATCTTTGACTCTGGGGAGGTGCTTTTCCACTGAGCAGGCCCATAGCGGGGGGGGGGGGGTTGAGGGGCTTCTCAGGGTGGTCCACAAGAAGGCTGGTACATTATTTAAACAGTTAGGTTTATTCATATCATGATCTGATCACCATGCTCAATATATCCCATATGCATGGGGGTATTGGGATAATGATACAAAACATTTGCTAGGGTAGATCTTGACCCCCCCCCTCTCCCCCGAATCAAAATTCTGGGTATGGCCTGTCGCCGAGGAGCCTGCGTTGTCACCTCCTGGTAGTGTGATCAGCAAGATTGCCTTTTGCCGCCAAAGCAGTACTTATTTATCTATTCACATTGGCGTGTTTTCAAACTGCTAGGTTGATAGGAGCTGGATGTGACAGACGGGTACTCACCCGATCTCGCAGATTCAAACTGCCAACCTTCAGATCATCAATTCAGCCAACCTTCAGGTCAACAGTTCAACGGCACAAGGGTTTAACCCATTTTACCACCACAAATCAGTTTTCACTACCAGTGTCCAGATATTTAAAATCCTTTTTATAACTGAGCCAAAGGCTGACTTGCACTTGACCTGAGAGTGTTTTTCCCAATGCTTTACTTGTGCGTACTATTAAAAGGAACTACAAAGCAAGCTTATGCAAAGTATAACACTTCTACTTTACCCAAATGAGTCCAAAGGGGAAAAGGGAGCAGGTGTAAAAAAAACAGCACTTTTTGGCAACAGACTTGATGGTAGATCACTTTGGAGACACATGTTTTCAGCAAACCCTTCCCTGTTTTCAGTGAAAAGGACCCAGAGATCTGATCTAACTAGTTAAAATCAACTAAGGCCCCTTCCAGACATCCCCATACCCTAGGATCTGATCCCAGGTTTTCTGCTTTAAACTAGATTATATGAGTCTGCACTGCCAGATAATCTGGGGTAAACAGAAAACCTAGGATCATATCTTGGGATATAGGGCCTGTCTGGAAGAGCCCAAGGTTATCAATTAAGCTAGAGGTTTTTCTAACCCAAAAAAGTTGTTGTTGTTTTTTTAAAAAAAATTGACATTGTAGCTTTAGAAACTACTTAATTCTGAATTTATGTTATTACTTAAATTATTAGTTAAATGACGCAGTAATAAAGAGCATTTTACATTTCTCACCTGATGCTGTATCCTAATTCTCTTGGATTTATGCTGGGAATTATGCTGTTATGATCACAAGATGCAAACCCCCATTTTAGTTAATAATGAAAGTATTATTTTTACTTTTTTTTGCTAAAAAAGGTTTTAATCCAACAAATTATAGGGACAATTTTGAAGCTGGTGGTCTTCTTTGTATCCAGATACAGCTTCTCTATTGTACTCTACTACTCTACTCTATTACTATTTGAAGAAACAAAAGTTTTGAATTTTTGACTCTGGTACCTTTCCTGGTTTGCACATCGGAATCAGTAAACTTAAGAGTGTGAATAAGAAAATACGGTTAGGAGGTGGAAGAAAGGCAATTCTAGAGAAGGGGTTTTGGTAGGGCAGGTGTGAAATGGGATTTTAAAATATTCATGTTGCTGCATCTTTATCTCCCAAGATCAGCAGAGGAATGTGGTGTGAGATGAAAACACAATGCTACTTTTTAATTTAATTGTGGTAATTTAATTCAGGCATTTAACTGAAATGTAAAAGGCAATTCAACTTAAAACGTAACAGTCCGGTTTTTAACTTATCAATTTAACTTACATTTAAATAGCAATTTAACTCAAGCTTAGCAGTTAAGTTTTTATACTTTCTAATTTGAATTCACTTGAATTAATGATTAATTAAACATGTTAACCCTTTCCACCTTAGATCTCATATTGGGAGAATAGAATCTTAATTAATTAATTAACTTTCCTATTTCTGTCACTGTCAGGCTTGTCTCGACTATTTGGTCAACCTCCTTGCATTCACTCTGTCCTTCCCTGCTCTGACTTGTTGGGTGCCCACAAGTTACCAGATGTCACCGAGGATGCTACAGTCAGGCAGATGGTGGGTGGTATGAAGGGGACAGCAACGGCAGCTATTCCTGCCTATTCCCTTTTTTTTGAAGTTTTCCAAATAAACTATCTCATCGCTATCGTCTTTACTCTCCTTCCATCTGGTAGAAGGTGCTTTTTCATCATTACTGCTAAAGTAAGATTCAATTTGGCAGTCTGGGCATTGAAATCCACAAGCATGTGGACAATTTCAACAGAGAGGGGAAAACCATGAAAATGAACAAAATTAGGCTACCAGTGTTTAAAAAACTCTAAAATAAGGACAGTAAATAAAGAGCAACACTCAAAAAGCAAGAGAATTCCAGACATGTCACAAACGCGGTTGGCGGGGATGAGGGACAGGTCCTTCTCGGTAGTGGCCCCCCGCCTATGGAATTCTCTCCCCGGGGAAATCAGGTCAACTTCATCCCTCCTCTCCTTTAGAAGGAAATTAAAAACATGGATGTGGGACCAGTCCTTCGAGTAATCTTGCAGATTTGACGAGGACAATGCCAACAATAGCTATGGAAATGGAATATGGACAAGCAAAATGGAGTCTCCAATTACAGAACTCAGTGAGACAACGGCCACCAGAGTGGTGTACTTTCTAGTGGATTTTATTGTGTTAACTTAATGTTTTAATGATTTATAACTACTGATTTTGATATGGATTTTATTGTGTTTAATTGTAGGCGTCAAAGCCGCCCTGAGTCCCCCCCAAGGGGTTGAGAAGGGTGGGGTAAAAAAATACCCTAAATAAATAAATAAATAAACATGAATCAATCAGAGCCAGCTAACACCTCCCAACAAAGGATTGCACCAGGCAGCAACCAGACAAGCTTTGAAGCTGCAAGGCCATTAAATGATAATCAAGGTGTCCAATTGCATAATTCACACCTGCCTCAAGCAAGCAAGAGCTTTTTTCTTTCACCCTCAACATTCCACACTTGCCTAGTTTCCAACAGACTCTCCAGCCTCTGAGGATACCTGCCATAGATGTGGGCAAAACTTCAGAGAATGCTTCTGGAACATGGCCACACAGCCCAGAAAACTCATAGCAACCCAAAATGTCTTCTGTTGGCCCTAACAAGGTTTTATCCCTTTTGCATTTGGGGCTTATCCTTGTGGACTATTTGCGATTGGGTGTGTATGCTGAGGCTTTACAGCTTCCTTCAGGCATGGAAGAGATGTGGGTAGGGTTCATGCAGTATGAAGTCCTGTGGTTAACAAGCTATTTGGAATCTCTGGCTTGGCCATAAAAGGTCACAGAGTATGACCAGCTGAGAAATATCCCCTGCCCTTTGAGATCCTGTTTTACACTTCAGGTTCCAATTCCAGCAGCTGTCTTCAGGCCAACTCCAAGTTTGGAATTTGATGCACCCCTTTCAAGAGTGCGCACATGCGTTCTGCTGCAGGAAAGACAACCCCATTCTTGCTATTAGCAGCAACCAAGGAAATAATTAAGCATTCAGTTTGTGTGTTTCCCAATGACGCCGGGTTGGCTTGGAGCAACATGGCTCAAAGCCAAAGCTGGCTAAGCGGGAGACATTGAAACTGAATACGTGATCCTGTCACCATTTTCAAACCCATCACCTATGTTGCAGATACAAATTTAAACAACCCTAAATACATGTGTGGCAGTGGAACTATAGCAGACGCTGAGGTCACAAGAGATGATGATTATTTATTCCCCTTTATCATGCCATCTGCAACATATGGGTGTCTTTCCCCTCTCCAGATGACTAAATGGTGGCAGATGCCACATTGTTATCTCAGCAGAGGAAAGCAAATGATGCATGGAAGCCCATGGATGGTATTTTGTCACTGTCATCAAAGAAAATCCTGATAGTTCCATTTAAGAGGGAGACCACAGTAATACTACAGACTCTTCTCCTTCACCTAATATGGCTGTTCCAAGCAGATGCCTGAGGAGGATGGAGTATTGTTCTGCCTACTTTGACATAGTGTTTCCTCCTCTGTTGATTTGGGAAACACTATGTCAAAGTAGGCAGAAGATACGAGGAAGTGACTCTTTAAATAGAAATGTCTCCCACAAAGCTCTAAGTGCCTTCCATCAAGAATATAAACATCACAACAAACACCAAATCTTAGGACTCCTGAGGAGAGAGCCGTGGAAGTTGAAGAGGTAGAAAACTGATTAAATGGTATACTACAAGACTTCTTGATTGTGTTTTGTTTGGTTAATCATTATTTGTTGTTTATTCATTCAATTGCTTCTGACGCTTCGTGACCTCATGGACCAGCCCACGCCAGAGCTCCCTGTCAGCCGTTGCCACCCCCAGTCACTTCAAGGATACCATACATCCATCTTGGTCTGCCCCTCTTTCTTTTTCCTTCCATTTTCCCCAACATTGTTGTCTTCTCCAAGCTTTCCTGTCTTCTCATTATGTGGCCAAAATACTCCATCTTTGCCTCTAATATCCTTCCCTCCAGTGAGCAGTTGGGCTTTATTTCCTGGAGTATGGACTAATTTGATCTTCTTGTGGTCCATGGCACTCTCAGAATTTTCCTCCAGTACCACAGTTCAAAAGTGTCTAACTTCCTTCGTTCAGTCTTCCTTATGGTCCAGCTCTTGCACTGGTTGTACTGATCCATTTAGTTTTCATGGCAAGAATACTGGGGTGGGTTACCATTACCTTCCCAAGGGGTCGTATTTGGTCTGACCTCTATGCCATGACCTTCCCATCCTGGGTATCCCTTCATGGTTTTGCTCGTGGCATCATTGAGGTGCTTAAGCTCAAGCACCACAACAACGTAACAATCCTTTGGAGGAGCTTAGGTAAAGGTTTTCCCCTGACATTAAGTCTAGTTCTGTCCGACTCTGCGATGTGGTGCTCATCTCCATTTCCAACCTGAAGAGCCAGCGTTGTCCGTAGACACCTCCAAGGTCATGTGGCCAGCATGACTACATGGAGCGCTATTACCTTCCTGCCAGTGCGGTACCTATTGATCTACTCACATTTGCATGTTTTCGAACTGCTGAGTCGGCAGAAGCTGGGCCTGACAGGGGAAGCTCACGCCGCTCCCCGGATTTGAATTTGCAACCTTTTGGTCAACAAGCTCAGTGGTTTAACCCACTGTTCCACTGGGGGCTCCCTTTGCTGGAGCTTGCTGAACCATTATTTAAAATATAAGATTCACTGAAGGGTGCATTGCTAGCATAAATATATTACCTAATTCTTACTTTTGAAATCAGGACTGCGTTATATATTGTACAGGCATTTTAAATTCCTTGGTTGGTTAATATCTTTACAAGGCCTAGTAAGGTAGCAAAACAATGAACAAGCTTTTAGAATCTTTGGAGTTCAGGGACAATGTTAAACAAAACAGGCTGCAAAGTTGGCATGATGTTAATGCCATAAAGTCTGCATTTATGATGAAGCTGTGGAAGGAGAAAACAGGCAGCAGTCTTACCAATGTGACATGGGTGGGGAAGCTACAGTAATATACAGGATTATCCTTGTTGGAATATAGCATCTACAACACTCTGGGTTACAGCTGATGAGGCTTGGCACAGCATGTTGCAAGGATCCAGACATCAGCCAATTCAGATGCTGGAGGGGCACATTGATTGGCAGATGTGGCGTTCCACATGGGCTGAAGCCACTGTACAGTTCCTTGCCACATAAGAATGAGCGAATCCCTGGCCTCAGAACTGGGCTTATCCAAAAATGCCTGAGCTAGGGTCCCGCAGTGAGATCATCACAAAGGCCATTCCCCTAAACTGGGGAAAATATGCCATAGCTATAATAAAGAAAAAGCAAGAAATGCAAACAGTAATTCTTCTGCCACCAGTATGAAACCATATGAACAATTGAGAGGGAGGATACACAGAAGGAAGATGTAGAGCAGACCGAAGCAGCAGGTGGACAGACTTGGAAACCTCTTAGTATTTATCTGTATGACTCCTCCCTCTGGTCTTACTTGATTGGCCAATAATTTCACAATTAGCAGACACCCCCCCCCCCTCCCAAAAATGCACTGGTTCCTACGATGACAAGCCATTAGCTTGATATATATGGGGCAGCCTGCCCTCTGGTTTCATTGTTACAGGGTCCACCTTGGGTTAGTGGGACACATTTCTCATTTCTGAAAATATGCAATCAGCCTCCATATTTGCAGGTTTGGCTTTTGCAGCTTTGATTATTTGTGGAATTGATTAAAATGTGAATCTGTAGATTAGTGGATCTCAACCTTCCTAATGCCGTGACCCCTTAATACAGTTCCTCATGTTGTGGTGACACCCAACCATAACATTATTTTCGTTGCTACTTCATAACTGTAATTTTGCTACCATTATGAATTGTCATGTAAATATCTGATATGCAGAATCTATTTTCATTCACTGGACCAAACTTGGCACAAATACCTGATACGCCCAAATTTGAATACTGGTGGACATTGGGGAGATTGATTTTGTCATTTGGGAGTTGTAGTTGCTGGGATTTATAGTTCATCTACAATCAAAGAGCATTCTGGACTCCACTGATGGAATTGAACCAAAATTGACACACAACTCTCATAACCAACAGAAAATACTGAAAGGGTTTGGTGGGTATTGATCTTGAGTTTTGGAGTTGTAGTTCACCTTCATCCAGAGAGCACTGTGGATTCAAACAATGATGTATCTGGACCCAACTTGGCATGAATACTCAGTATGCCCAAATGTGAACATTGGTGGAGTTTTGGGGAAATAGACCTTGACATTTGGGAGTTGTAGTTGCTGGGATTTTTAATTCACCTACAACCAAAGAGCCCCTTGAACCCCACCAAAAATAGAATCAGGCCAAACTTCCCACACAGAACCCCCATGACCGACAGAAAATACTTTAGGGACTTGGGAGGAATTGATAGTGATTTAGAAGAGATGTAGTTCACCTACATCCAGAGAGCACTGTGAACCCAAAGAATGATAGATCTGGACCAAATTTGGCACAAATACTTGATGCACCAAAATTTGAATACTGGTGGGTTTGGGGGGAGATTGATTTTGTCATTTGGGAGTTGCTGAGAGGCCAGCCAATCACAGCAGATGGGGGGGGGTTGGTGGGAGGATTCATCATCTGTTTCCAAAAAGGAAGAGAAGGACAGGTGAAGAGATCTTCAGTCTTCTCTGCCAAAGGGGTTCCTATGATAATCAGAATACGTGTTTTCTGATGGTGTTTGGTGACCCTTCTGAAACCCCCCTCGCAACCCCCCAAGGGTTCCGACCCCCAGGTTGAGAAACGCTGCTCTAAATCCTTCAGTGTGACTCCTGATGTGGAGCATATCATAATGCTCAGATCTAGAAATTCCTAGAGAGGTATTTTCTCAGGTTTCTTTTTAGTTTGATGGATCAGCTGCATTACTGAGTGGAGACTTCCAACAGATTTTCACAGCTGATAACCTTGCATTTGGACAGCTGCAATGGGTTGTTGAAAATAGTTCAAAAGCACGGTGGTCAGAATGTTAATGAGAGATGACTAATACACTTGCATTATGCCAGCACATCTGTGCTGACTGCCAGTCCTGGCTAAATTCAAAGTTCTGAAGTGTATGTCCTCCTATATTCTCTTGGAAACTAAGGTCACTGA